ATATATATATATATAAATATATATATATATATATATATCCAAATTATAGTTTATGTTAAAACTTTTAAAAATTTTTTCCTTTTTTGCATACCAAACTTAATAGCAATTTAATTATAACTAAATTTAAATTTATGATCCTTAATTTCATTATAATAAGAAAATAATAATTCATTATTGAAATCGGGTTTATACTTGAAGTTGTCTTCCCCTTTTCTGTCCTAGCCTCAACGAAACCCTAAAATTATAAGACGAAACCCTAAAGTTGTAAGAGTCAACATCAGGATTTTAATTTCATGGCTTAAATTTAAATTACTTAACATTAATAACTAAATAATTTGAATTAAAATAACACTAATTATTTTAAATTCTTACCTTTTATTTCTCTGCCTTGCGCTAAAAGCCGGATCGAGCCAAGCGTTCAATCGAACCCTTCTCGCAAATGATTCCCGCGATCCCTTCTTCCTTCCTAAGCTCTCGATCGAGCTTCAAATCGGCCGCTCGAGCCCCCTTTCTCCTCCTGCGAGCCACACAAGTTGGACAACCGGCTTCCTTCTTTCTCGGCGAGTCACAAGACAGGGAGAACCCACCGCCTCCTTCCTCTTCCAGCTCTTGGGTAAGGCACAGAAGCTCTCCCCTCCTCTTCTTCGCTTGAGTAGGCCGCTCGAGCCTTCTAGGTACTCAAACGAGCTTCCCCTTCTTCTCTCTTCTTTCCTTTGATGCTCGCGGCACTCGGTAGAGCCGCTCGAGCTATCTTCCCTTCGATTGGATCGTGAAAATGGAAGGAAATGATCGCAGCAGGTGAGCCGCTCGTCACCTTCTACCTCCTTCCTCTTCTCCTTCTTCTGCTGCTGCTTCATCTCCTTCTCCTTTTCTTCTTCTTCTTCTTCTTCTTCTACTTCACTCTCTCGCTCTGTCTCCCCCTGTTTCTCTCGTGCCTGCTGAGTGTGGGTTCGAATAGGAGGAGACGAACACCCCCCTCGTTCTGAACTCCCCATGAGTGTGGAGTTTTCGCTCGAACGACACCTGCACAGTGTCGTTACCAACGAAGCTTCGTTTTTTTTAAATTGAATTTGTTAATTAATTTTCTTTTTATTAATTTTTTTGAGTTTATTATTACATGTCATATGGTTAGTGATCCGTAAATTTAGAATTTATGAAGGGAAAGAAGTATTAGAGGCACTACAAATATTAAAAATCGTAACATCTCGAGAAAGAGATCAAATCCATATGGCTTTTGAAGGAATTGATTAATTTTTTTTTAATTTATCAATTTCTTCTAAATTGAGTTCTCTTGACTTCATTAGGTAATCCTGCTTTTTTTTATTTTTTCTTATTTCCTCCATAACTTTAAGGTTTTTCTTAATGTTTCCATCATTTGCTTTGTTGTGCTTTTTCTTTTTGTTGTGTAGCTTTGCCAATAGAAGAAGTTTTTTGTTCTTCTTTTGGTGAAGGTTCTGTGACAGTTAGTCCTTGGGATTAAAAAATTATCATGACAGTTATTTTGAGAGCCGAATCATTGATCATTATTTTCTTTATTCCTTCTTCGGCTTGTACAAGTTCATTTAGAGAAGATAGATTTTCTCTGCTTAAGATTTGAATTCAAATTTGGTCAAATTGATTGGCGAGTCTTGCTAGAAACTCAAAAATTCTCTTACGCTGCACAAATTATTTGAGGATCACTGCATCCTCATAGATTATCATTATGAGATCTTGACAGCAATGCAGCTCTGACCGGTAAATTTTCATGGAATTAAAATATTTAGTGACAAGAATGTTACATTGCTCATTAGCAATGGGCTTCATCTTTTTTTCGTAGATGAGTGTAACATGTTTTATTTTTGAGTAGGTTTGTTTAGTTGCATCCTAAATCTCTTTTGTGATGGGGAGGAATATAAAAGGTCCATTGATCTTCGGTAGTATGATGTTCGACAATCATATCATGTTCATGAAATTAATTTCTTTCCAATGTAATAACTTTGGGTCTTTAGGCTCCAGTTGTAAGTACACAATATATTGGATCTCTCCCTTTCTTTCTAGAAAGGCCTTCATGATTTTGAATCATATATGTTTTTTTTTTAAAGGTATTCACTGTCTCTTCCTTTTCTTTCTAGAAAAAAAGGGTGGGGATAATGAGGGGTTATTGATCCTATAGAGAATCATATAGATTGCAATTTGAGGTCCATAAAGAAATTGATCCAACGTAATTTCTTTGCTATAATTGGAGAGTGAGTAAAACAATTCGAGTATCACCTTCTTAAGACCAATTGTGCCAGAGGGAATTTGAACCCCCGATCTGAGGGGTCTTCTACCACGGATGCCAACCAACTATATATATATATCTTTCAGATTTCCCACCAGCTGTATGCTCAAAATGTTTTAGTAACTGTAAAAGTAAACTACAAAGTACATGAATAAACGATTCTTTTTTTGATGAATAATTTCTTCAGGCTCTTTTTTGAAGCATGTGGGTTTGGAAAGGATCTTCTTGATTCTACCACGATGATGTACACCAGAACAGCCTCAAGTGATCAAAAGGGTAAATTCATGGTCAGAAGTGCAGGTCGCCTGCAGCTGGTGGTTCCTCGCCCTCTTGAGCTTTACCCTTCTGGGAAGGATTACTGTGGAGGCTAATAATCTTAGTGAGGCTCGAACAAAGCTCATCAGGACAGTCATACTATTTGAAATTTTGACGTTTTGGAATTAAGTTTCTCATTTCAATTAGGTTGACCTAACTTTAAAAACCACCATACATGTCACTTAAATTTTAAATATTGAAAAACTATTATAGGGGTCGTCTTCAATAATTGTGTTTGACGTTACATCACCCTTAACATAGACTAGCAAATCAATCACGCTCCTTATAAAAAAAATGGTTTTTTTGATATCCAGTTGTATAAGGAGCACAGTCTGCACAGCAGTGGGGGCATGGGAGATGCCAATGCAGCAGTTCTAATAGCTTGATGATGCACCCTTGTGACTTTGAGCACACAGTCCTTGACCCTTTGTGTTTTGATGTTACCAATGTGAACCATTTCACCATAGCTAATATCATTTATTATGTTCGTTTCCCACTTTCTTTTTGCCATCTCCATCAGTCCCCTGCTGCCTCTTGTTTTTTTTTTTTCTGGTTTTATAAATTCATTTGTTCTCATGTTTATGCTCTAGTTATTTCACTCCTGTCCACTTGATATATCTCGACCCTAGTGTGTTTCATCCCCAAAAAATAATCCCATCCCACCAAATGTAAACAAATTCAAGGTTTCTCCTCCTAATGGCTTCCGTCACAAAGGTTATATTTAACTGAAGCATCTTGTCGGTTTGAATATGAGGTCTGTTTTCCTGATAAATAATGGATCTTTTTTTATATTTCACCTTTTATAACCTTTTAGTAGGTCCTACCTATTGTGACATATTTTATTGCTATCAGGGAAGCTGGTCGTGGTGGCTTAATTCGCATCTGAGGAGAATTAGGCCAAACTCGCTTTTATGTAACATTTACTTCTTTCTAATCTGGAGCAAAACCAATTGCATGAGAAATTTTCATGGTCTTCAATTTTTGGAAACCATAATGGTATGCATGTCTGTTTATGAAATCATGTCTGGAAACTCCCGCATTGGAATATGATTCTTAGCATCAATAGGGGGATATACAGTCCTTGTTAAGCGTTTTGATGATGGAGAATCTTATAGATAAAGCAAACTTTTGGTCCTTTTTTCTTATCCTTCTTTTTTCATTTTTATCCTCCTTCACCAAAACTAAGAAAAAAATTAGCCAACCTGTTCAACATCTTCTCATCCTTGTGACCATCCAATCCAAAATTCCTTGAAGATGACTAAAGTCAGAATTGAGGTCTGCATCATCTCTGCACGTGGCCTCCATCGCTTCCCTACCCTTCTGAAGCCCCACTGGTTTGCTGCTGGCTGGAGTGATCCCAATTACAAATACTGCGCCGCGATCTACAGCTCCGGCAACCCAAATCCAACTTGGAAAACCAAACTTCTATTTGATGTCGATGACAGAAGTTCAAATCTGCAAGACTTAAAACTCATTGTAGAGATTCACAAGATGGCTCCTATATTTCTCAGAGATGAGCTTCATGGAACTGCAACCATTATGCTCCATGAGTTTTTTTTGGCCAAGTTCTCGAGAGAGACAGATGGATGCAGAACAGGATTTGAAGAGGTTGGGAGCTTCAGCTGAGGAAGCAAATGTCTGGGGAGCCCCAAGGGTTTGTTGACATCTCTGTTCGCATATCTGCCGACGAATATAGTTTTGCATCCCACGCAGGCATTCAGAAACTTAACCTAAATTTTAGATCATTTCAAACAGTAACTTCATGTTTTAGATTTCCTTGCTTGATGATAGATCTATTGCATTGTTTTCTGCTCTTTAATGATCTGTTTCCTAATCTCTTTATCATGCCTTGAAGAGCATGTTGCTTCTTTTTCTTTTCAGTAAAGTTTATTAAGGTGCATGTTACCCGGAAAAACATAACCTTTTTTGCGGGTCTTCTACATGCATTCCACACAATTCTTATGTATTTACATATCTAATACCTGAACATTTTATTTTTACATGCATATGACTCCCATCTTTAATATACAACAAAATACCACTATCACTACCTTTTTAAAAGTGAACTATGCTTTTTCATGAATAGCTTTCATGACACCAATGTGTTGCAAGTGTAAAATATCAAACTTTTGATGTTAGATATGTAAATACATAAGAATTGTGTAGCATGCATGTGAATTTTCCAGTTTTTTAATCAATTATTGCTTCTTTATCTAGGAAGTAACTTTTCTCTATTAAATTTTTGGATGGCAACTTAAAAAAAATTCTTTTACTTTATTGCGGTATGATTTGCCCCCTTTCCATCCCCCGAATAAATGAATTGAATTCTGCAAATTGACTAACTAGTGAGTGATACCGGAGGTAACCCAAATCGCAGCTAACTACAAAAAATTAGTACAAAAATATGGTGGAATTACAACAAAAAGGTTTTTAGAACAAAAATAAACGATAAATACAAACACCACCCTAGAGGAAGAAGGTGGCGGGTGGCGATTAGATAGCGATAGGTGGGTTGGGTTGAGGTTACAACCATAGCAAGAGGGTTGGAATGGTGTGGTTGTAGCAGCTTGAAGAGAGGAATGTCACAACCCAATCCTGAGCTTGAAATTAACCAAGACTGGTATGGACGATAGAGCGGTGGTAAATAAAATTTTTCTATTTTTATTTTTTTATATCTAACATTTTAATAAATGAAAGAGCCACTATATAAAAATAAATATTAAAATAGTATAATTAAAATTAGGTCATTAGTGATTGTCTACGCCTTTTATATACATTTCTTCTATTGCTCATCTTTTGAATCACTTAATTAAATTCAAAATGTTAATTTAAAATAACAGTGAGCTAGCAATAATCAGTGAATATTCATACTCCTAAATTACAATAGCATAGTTAAAGAGAAACTAATATGCATGCTAGTTAAACTCTTAATAAATCATTAATAGAATTTTTACTAGCTTATGAATATGACCACTAATGATATTTCAAGATTTAAGGTGTTTTATTATATCAATAACACACCTATATCATTTATATCTGTATAATTGTCATATGAGTACCGTCTAAAAATTATACATGTTAAGATAATCCAATATTAAAATTCTTTTTTATTTATGTGCACAGGTACTTTGGCGATATCCCGGTAGTACTGCAAACGAGTTACTACACCATAGTCAAGCATTTACATACAAGTAATTTTACGTGCAAAGGTATTCATATCGAAATGACCGATAAAATTTAATAATTGAGGAAATCAATTTTACTAATTAAGCGTGAACAAAAATCCATACAATTAGTTTAGAAGATATATAAAAATGATACTATAATTTAAGAGTACTCACCTCGATGTTCATTTATTTGTTCTAGGATTTACCTTGATCTCTACTTTTGATGTCTATGATAAACTTGATATTCATATTACTAAAATTTAATTTATTCATAATATTTTAATTAACTATTTAAATTGTTCAAGTATTAATTTTCATAATTTCACTTTATCTAATTATAATTATTTTGTCATTCAATATATATATATATA